GCAGTGTCACTGGCCCTCATATGTGGGATCCGAACCGGGGCCCTCTGGCATCCCAAGCCAGTTCTTAACCATCGCGCCACTCGGCCGGCCCTGTGTATCTCTAACTTTAGATGGCTTATGGCTTGTTTTTATATGAGAATCTTGTGTTGCCTAAAAAGATCCAGAGAAGTTTTCCTCTCTTCCACTTAGAGGCTTTGGGGTCTAATCACTCGGGACCAATTTTTATGATAATTTCTCACCTGGGATATTCGTAGGCTGAATGACACTACAGAGTTAGAGGTCAGGCCTGAGAGAGGGCCCCTGTGGTCTTGTTTTTTATTTGTTGGGGGTTATGTTTTTCTCCCCAGAGCTTAGGCCAAGACAGACAAGACAAGCTTTCTTAACTCCCTATAGTGGTAAGCAGAATTTTTTTTTTCCCCTGTCTGCACCGTCTGTGACTATATCATTTTGAGCATCTTGGCCTCAGCATGGATATTAGCTCCACAGCAGAACCTCCTGATGCTACACGTGCCTACCTGTTGTGCGCACGCGCGCACACACACACACACGCGCACACACGCACACACACACGCGCGCACACACACACACACACACGCACACACACACACACACGCAGTGGCAGAACCTCCTTGATATCGCACCACTCATTTTCAGGTTTTTTTCCTGAACTCTGTGGCGTTTTTCCTTTCTTGCAATCTCACGTATTTATTAACCTTTTTTTATTCAATTACTAGACTTTATTTTTTAGAACACTTTTAAGTTTATTCCCCTCCCCCCCGACACACACAACAGGTTTTCCCCTGTCATTAATCCTGTGCTTTAGTGTGATACATTTGTTACAGCTAATGAACCAGTGCTGACACATTATTAATAATTAAAGTACATAATTTATATTAAGGGTCACATAGTTTATATTAAAGGTCATTCTTTTTGTTGTACAGCTGTGCCGACTTTGACAAACGCATTATGTCATGTATCTACCATTATAGTAGTATACAGAATTTACCATGCTGAAAATCACCTGTGCTCCACCTATTCATCCCTCCCCAACTCCTGAACTCATGGCGGCCACTGATCTTTTTTTTTTTAGCTGAACCATCCTGCCACTTGTTGGCAGCTCAGCGGCAACTCAGCTCGGGCCAGGCATCGAACCGCTGTTGCTCAGAGCTTGCACTCTTGCGCGAGCTCTTAACCAACTGAGCCACTCGGCCAGCCCAACCACTGATCTTTTTATTCTCTCTGTAGTTTTGCCTTTCCCAGAATGTCATAGAGCTGGAGCCATACAATACATAGCCTTTTCAGACTGGCTTCTTCACTCAGCAATATGCATTTAAGTTCATCTTATGCCTCTATGTCTTTTCATGCTTGGCGCCTCATTTCCTTTTATTGCTGTATAATATTCCCTTATATGGTTGTACTCCAGTTTATCCATTTTTCTGTTGAAGGACATCTTGGTTGCTTCCACTTTGGGGCGATTATGAATAAAGCTGCTAACAACCGTGATATGCAGGTTTTTGTGTGGACATAAGTTTTCAACTCAATTGGGCAAATTCCTAGGAGTACAACAGCTGCTGGATCTTATGGTGAAACTATATTTAGCTTTGTAACAAACTACCAAATTGTCTTCCAGAATGGCTATACCATTTTGCAGTTTCACCAGCAAAAGAGAGAGGTCTGATTGCTCTGCATCCTCTGCAGCACTTGCTATTATCAGTATTTTTTTTTTAATTTTAGCTATTCTAATAAGTTTGTAGTGGTGTCTTATGTTACTTTAATTTGCAATTCCCTAATGACATGTTGTTGAGCATTTTTTCATAAGCTTAATTGCCACCTGTATATCTTCTGTGGAAACGTAAGGTGCCTGTTCAGATCTTTTGCCCATTTTTTAACTGGGTTGTTTTCTTCAATTTAAGAGTTTTCTTTGTATAGTTTAGATATAAGTTCTTTGTCAAATATGTGTTTTGTAAATATTTTTTCCCAGTCTGTGACTTTTTTTCTCTCAATGGTGTCTTCCATGTGGCAGAATTTTTAATTTTAATAAAGACCAACATCTGTTTTTTCTTTGATGGACTGTGCTTTTGATGGTGTGTAAAAACTCATCACAAACCCAAATTCACCTAGATTTTCTCCTATATTGTCTTGTAGAAGTTTTATAGTTTTGTGTTTGACATTTAGATCTGTGATCCATTTTGAGTTAAATTTTGTGAAAGGTATATGGTCTGTGTCTAGATCTTTTTTTTTTCATATGGATGGGATGTCCAATTGTTCCAGCACCATTTATCAGATATGCAATAAGTTTTTGCAAAAATATTTCAACTTTTTTGTTAGTACCTACATATCTTTTTCCATCCTTTCCAACATTGTCAGCCTTATATTTAAGTATGTCTCTTGTAAGCAGCACGCAGCGGTGTGTTATTTTTTTAATCCAGTCTAATATCTTAATCATGTACTTGGATACTCTAGACCATTTACATTTAATGTAATTACTAATATTGTTAGGTTATTTACACTTACCCAGCATGTTAAGTTTTTTGTATTATTTGAAATAGCCATCTTAACCAGAACCACTTCAATGAAGATAATTTAGGAATAATTAGTATTAAATTATGGTGGTTATGTAAGCATCTGAACTTAAAAAATTTATCTTTAAAAAAATAAGCAATTTTAAAATGACTAGATTTACTACATGCACAATAAATGAGTTAGTTTGATACACAGTCCAACAATGGGACACAATGGGTACAAAATTGGAACTGTAGAAGAAAATTCGGGATATGTGTTTGCCATGACAAGACTATCATGTTATGGTAATGTGTTTTTGCTGTGATTTTTAAAAAATGGCTTTTGAAAAACTTGGACCCAGCATATTACAAAGCGTTTTGCATTTTGTGTCACTTGCATGTATAATTGACAGACTTCAAGTTCTAGTTGCAGTGCTGAAATGTGAAATTTACTCAGAAATGTCAGTAATTTGAAGGGATATAAACCTGAACATTTGAAATAGGGATTGCACTAGAAAATCCAGGATTTGTTTTTACTGTTTCTTTTTTTTCATTCTTAGAATGTGCCACCTTTCTCTCTTTTCATTGTAGATGGAAAACGCTTCCCCCTTATTAAAAGCATTTTATATTCATTGTAGATAATTTTGAAGACAAAAAAATAATTCAAAATACAAAATTCAAGTTGTCCTTAAGTCTATCATTGACAGATAACCAAAGTTATTAGTGTTTTGGTTTTTTAACTATGTTTAACATATATGTACATGCATGCTAGTGTGTGTTTTAAACCATTTTCTGTCCTACATTTTCTCCCTTAATAATATTTTGACATTTTCCAATGTCAGTTTTATTTATTACCAGGAAAAATGTGTGAGGAAAAGGATGTGATCCCACAATTAAGAACACAAAGGATGCAGATAATCTGGAAAGTTAGGGCCAAAGCACTTAGATTTTCCTCCAAGACTCTACTTGATCCTTTTCTGGCTTCTCAGTATGAGATCCTTTACTTCTTTTATATATGTTGGCATAAATGTATTTTTAGGAAAGAGATGAAGGTTGTAAATTGATTGGTTTTTAATTTGCCCAATAAGTTGTTAAAATTGTTACATCAGAATAATGTGTGAAAAGGCGTAGTTGAACCCTTTTCCTTGTAATCATTCATAAAGTTGTCAGCTTTTGGTTAAATGATTTGAAATTATAAGAGTAAATAATGTATTATTAATTTCTAAAGTTAAAGGACTTTTTCCTTCTAGATTCCTTTCTACGAAACCGTTCAAGTTCTGACCATGAAGCTACAGCCATGATGAAAGCTCAGTTTATGAGTCTCTGGGATGGATTGGATACTGACCACAGCTGCCAGGTATTTGAAAGAAATCTGCCTTAAACTTGTGGTGTTGCGGTGGTAGTGTTAATAGAAATTTTTTGGCTTTTTTACAAAAGTCTTTTTTCATAATTATATTGGGTTGTCGGAAAAGTCATGACGCATTTTTGCAATGAAAAACAGAAAAAACATGTCATGACTTTTCCGACAACCCAATAGTAACCTTAAATGATGGGGATCTGAAAGAATGCGGTTTGTATGCATTTTCATCCATTTTGAGGTCTTCATGTTTAACAAAATGTTTATAGGTTGCCTTAGTGCCTGAAACAAATACAGCAGAAGAGAAAAAACCAGGGTGAAGCCTCTCCTTGGAATTTTTAGAACCATTGTGCCAAAGAAGAGGAAATGACTAGTGTCTCTGGGTACATGTTTCTTTTGACTCAAACCATAACCTTGCAGTCTTTTTTATAAAGATTTTATTGGGTAATTGGGGGAGGGGAACAGCGCTGGGGAATCGGGGGAAGGGGAACAAACAAGTTGCTGTTGTTTTGTTCTTCAGTCTAGTTGTGGAGGACGCTGCTTCACTGGCCCAAGCTGGCACCATCATTGCTCTCTTCCCAGGCGAGGCAGATCAGTCGCCGGCCTCTGGATGGCCACTCACGCTGGCTGCTGGCTACACACGGTAGCCCATGGCAACCCACTGCCACAGGGGCTGCAGCCTAGCCGTCACCGGCGACTCACGGCAGCCCAGCTCCAGGTTGAGCTGTTGTTCAGCATCTTAGCTGTGGAGGGCAGTGTCACTGGCCCTCATATGTGGGATCCGAACCTGGGCCCTCTGGCGTCCCACTCCAGTTCCTAACCAACGAGCCACTCGGCCGGCCCCTAACCTTGTAGTCTTTACTCTCAGTTCTTATGGCACTGATTTTCATTTCACCATTTTCATTCGTTGCTGAAACTTCCACACTTCCCACTTCCTGTCATGTGCACCTTCCTTTAGGATCCCAGTTTTATAATAGGACGATTGTCTGTCCTAGGTTTTGTCTCTTCCCCCTGTAAGGCTGTTGAAAACTAAGATCCGTTGGTATGCCCCCAAAGAGAGCCTCTTTGGGTTCCCATTTTCACTTAATTCCTCATCTCCGAGTATTCTGTCCTTTCCTGCCAGACCAATGATGTATTTTAAAAGCAAATTTTTAAAAAAGTTATCTGGCATGTTTGTTTTTCTGCCATATTGCTGGAAATGGAAGCTCTAGAACCATTTTTCTATTTTTTTTCATGAATCACCTGTTTGTATCTCTTGGAAAAATTTTGAAAAAATTAATGCTATTCTTTTGTTGTTTTAACTTTATTAGGTATTTTCTATTTTATAATCTATTTTTGCCCTTTTAAAAAAACATAATATTGGGTCTTTGGAAAAGTCATGACATATTTTCTCTTGTGTTTTTCAAAGGTCATTTATTTATATAAAGAACAAAGATCAATCAATGATATATTGCCCGTTTTGTTCGATAACCTCTTGCCATCTTTCAGTGAGCTTCATAATTCCTCTTTCATAGAAGGATTTGTCTTTATCTGCGAAAAACTGAACAAGGTGCTGATTTACAGCCTCATCGGAATTGAATGTTATACCACGCAAGAAGTTTTAAAGAGAGCGAAACAAATGGAAGTCTGACAGCGCAAGGTCAGGCGAGCATGGTGGGTGTGGCAACACATCCGATCCAAGCTCCAATAAGTTTTGACGGGTGATCAAACTTGTGTGTGGTTTCGCGTTGTCGCAGTGGAACACAACTCCTTTACAGTTAACAAGCTTTGGACGTTTCTGAATGATGGAGTCATCCAAACTGTCCAATTGCTGACAGTACACATCCGAATTGATGGTTTGTTCCCTTGGAAGGAGTTTGAAAAACACGGTACCTTTAAAATCCCACCACACTGAGAGCATAACCTTCCTCTGATGAATGTCTGCTTTCGATGTCGTTTGAGGCAAATCATCACGTCGGGACCAAGACCGTTTGCGCACCATATTGTAAACAGTCCACTTCTCATCACCATTACCATTTGCTTCCAAAAAAGGATCGTTTTCCTCGTTTAATGAGCATATTACAGATGTTTATATGCGCCGTCAAATAAACTTCTTTGAATTCATGCAGAACCCAAATATAGAGCTTGCTTATGTATCCCAGCTTCTTCAGGTGGTCATGAACACTTGAATGATGGATGTTCAATGTTTCTGTAATCTCTCGTGTTGTGTAACGTGGGTTGACTCGATCAATGCCTTTATTTTGTCGTCATCGACCTCGGTGGGCCTCACCAGCATGGAATTTCGTGAACTGTCATTAGCACTGATGTTCTGATAGAGCATTGTCTCCGTAAACTTCATGCAACTTTTCACAAGCTTGACGCGTGTTCTTCCCTTTATGGAAGTAAAACAGTAAAATATGGCAAAAATGCAGTTTGTTCTTCAATCTTCAGCTTGTTGTAAATCTCCAAAACTCAACCAAATCGCTCAGTTTTTTTTTTAGAATGAAGCTAAAACTGTCAACCTTCAAATGACTTAGCAATAAGTAGATGTGAATGACTCCCAAAATAGTACTTCCAAAAATGAACTAGTGCCATCTGTTGCAAACATGCGGCATGACTTTTCCGAAGACCCAATATATAGAATCATCTTCCATCACTTCTAAAAAATTATTTCTTCAAAACACCTATGTGTTTTAACTTCTTTTTCATATTTTCTCTCTGTGCTGTATTCTGGGTAATTTCTTTACCTCTGTTTTCTAATTTGATAATTCTAGGTTCAGTTGATTCTCTTCTGCTATTTAACTCTTTCATTGAGTTTATTATTTCAGTTATTGAATTTTTCAGTTCTAAAAATTCTTTTAGCTTCTTTTTCAAGTTTGCCATGTTTATTTTATGGGCTCTTGCCATCAGCTCATGTTTTTAATTGGATTAGAAAATCCAGAGCCCTGGCATCAACTGGCAGTGTGGCCTTGCCCAAATTATATAACTACTTTACCTAAATAGAGGAAATAATATCTACCAAAAGGGAAGGATAGTATCCATCTCAGAATTATTGTAGGATTTTAAGGAATTAATTGGAGTGAAGTGCTTATAATAGTGCCTCATATATATTTACTACATGAATATTTGCTATGTGATTTTTTTTATTCCTCCTTTATTCCTTTAAATATGTCAACATATTTATAGTCTATATTCAATAATTCTAATGTGACTCTGTGCATCTCGTTCTGTCATTTGTTTGAGTTGATGGTGGCTGTTTCCTTGTGTGTTTTGTGATTTCATGCAAAAAAAAACATTTGGTAGAACTTTGTGTGTGAATTTTTAGAACCTATGTTGAAGGTTTATTGATTTAAGAGGATTCTGTATTTGTTTTTTGCCAGATTTTTCCCCAACACAAATGTGTAAATTCAGTCCCAATATCCATGGTAGCTGATCTTGTACTGTGAAATCTCAGAGATTTCATGTGAGTGTTTATGTGTTTATATGTCTTTGCAAGAACCAAGACTTGACTCTGCTGAATGGGTTTTCTAATATTTCACCAATGTTGTCAGGCTGTAGTACTTCATGTGTCCCAGCTTTGCAGAGGGTGGTCTCTCAGCGGGCTCTCTGGCCTGTAGGGTGTCCAGTGCACCCCCACTCTTAGATCTGTGTGTGTCCATATGGCATGTGGTCAGCTTCAACCCTTGCTTACCTCCCGTATGCATAGGCTTCACTGCCACCCTCAGCTTAATTCCTGCACTTTTTTGCAGATTTGTCAATTTATTTGAGTTTTTTAGTACTTTATTGTTTTTATATGTTTTGTGGGCAGAGGGGTCAAGGATCTCCTATGTCTACCACATTCCCATACATCCAAAGTAGGAAACACATCATTCTGAAGAAGAAAATTAAGCCACATGCCCTCCTCCTACCTCACCTTTATGAAAATGTAATTTCATCATGAGGGGAAGTTGCTTCAAGTGTTGGTTGGATGGTTAGAGAAGAAAGGACAACTTAGATAAATTACGGTGACATTAATAATTGATTCTGCTACATCTATGCAATTCAGGTTTCCCAAAACTAATATCCTCTTAGGCAACAGTATTTAAATCACTTATACGATTGAATAGATGGGCCATGTAAGAGAAAATAGCTTAATATTATATTATATCCTATCAGATGATAGTTTTAAAAAACGAGGAAATACTGACAGTTGGATGAATTAATACTTGAGCCACTTCATCCAGAGGCCCACATCATGGTCTGATACAGCACAACTAAAAACTGAGTTTTCAGAACCATAATTTCTTATCACGCTAATAGTACTTACTGTTTTTATTATTACAAATTTTTATTTGAAGGAGCAAATTAAAATGTTGCTTTTTTATTAAACTCTGGCAACAAGTTTTTTTTTCCTTTTTTTTGTGTTGAGGGGGTTATAATTGATATTATCAATTCAAATAATAATTAGACATTTTTCTTTCATATGAACCAGCTAGCTTTACTCTAAAATTATCTATTATATGACTATGGATGGAGCCCAGTACTCCAGCTAGCTTTCTTACATGTCTGATGTGGCCACAAAGGAAACAAAAACAGTTGAATTAAACCTATTGGGCTAATTAAATAGCCCAGTTAAACCTATCATCATTAATGAAAATCCAAGTTAACTGATGACATATTCTTCATCTTGAGCGACATAAGACAAAAGATAACAGTATTTTTAGGATATTCATTAACATAAAGTTTTGAGGCATAAATTTAGATCTGATTATTTTAAATGTGAAATGATAACAAATATTATCTTCATATTTTATCTTAAAGATTTTTAAAAGCCTTAACTAATACCTAAAAGGTAAATTAATTTTGTTGATTAAATACTAAAAAATTACTGTTGCTTCCTATTTTGAATTTTAGCTCATTTATAGTAAATAATGTTAATATATGAGTAAAGGTTATGTTTTGCCCCTTAAATTTTGCTTCTTTAAGTGAAACTACAAGTGGTTGCATTCATTGTTGCTTTTTCATCATAAATATCATCATAAATTATCCTATATGTATTCATTGGACCATGTAATGCGAGATTTATTTGGATTCCTTGATCCTAATTTTTAGCATTTCGTTTTCCATACTTTTTTGTTTTGTTTTAGGCTGTTGCTCAAAATAAAGCCCATTTTTCAGTTTTTTTTCAGGTACTGCCTCAACCACAATGCCTTTTGTGATTCTCCATCGCCTAATATGATCAATCTTCAACACGCTTCCATACACTTTGAGTTTCTCTTTTAACACTTTAAATATACTCTTATCTCAAAATGTACTTACTTATATTTATCCTTTATCTTATGCAGTTAGTTAGTTCATTTGATCACTTTAAGACTTTTTGTTTGTTTTACATTTGGTAGAAATGTTCCTTCCTTACTAATTTTTTAGAGTTGTAGAAAAATCAAAGAAAATTGGTAAGAGCATTAATATTTTAAATTTTTTTTTAGGACCACTTAACCCAAACACAAAATTGCATTATGTTGTGGAGCTAACATTTCTCCAATTGATATTTGTACTTATATTATTTCCCTCTAGGTGGCAACCTTTCACAGTTAATTGAAAGTTATTTGGATCTTGAATACCATTAAATGTAAAGAGAACATGTAGAATGTAAGATTTAATGGGTCTTTTAATATGTTCTGGAGTTAGATTTTAGATTATTTCAGAAATCTAAGACCCCTTAGGCTGAAATAAAATAATATTCAATAAATGAAAGTTTCCGTTAGAATACCGATAAATGTCATTTTGGAGAGCAGATGTATGCTGTTACTGGGGTATACAGAAATATCAGCAGTAATGGTAATATTAAATTCCTTCAGAAATTAACTTGTTCTGTATATCTTTGTGTTGATTTTTCATCTCTGCATCCTTTATAAATAAATGACAGTGACGCAGAAGTTGTCAGGGTCATCAGCAATTTTTAAAAAATTCTACCCAGCATTTTGATGTTTACTTTTATTCTGTTGCTCTTGTTTAAAGTTGGATAGCTTGAGGTTTTATTAGCATTAAGATGTCACCTGCAATGCTGATACATGCTGATATGATGTATGAAATCAAGAGGAAAAGTATATATCTATTGTTATTACCAGCATACTCAGGCTTAGAGGAAATGATTCTCTCCTTAATATTTTTATTAAGAGACTTGAAATATCCCCCTGTATATACTCCCAACTTATAACATAAATAGCTTTTAGTTATTCAACGTGTAGCTGTTAAGCAACCATGTTTTGCAAAAAACAATAGTTTTTTTTTTAATCTTTATAATTTTTCAGTAACTGAACCATATATTATTTTCATTACTAGAGTCCAGTGAAATGCATCAGTCTTACCAGCTTTGTATCATCTGATCTATTTAAAAGTAAATTCGATTTGTATTTATAAATATTTGAGTAATACATACTGGGTTAATATCATATGTCTTATAAAAGATTCAGTTCAAATGCCATTTGATTTTCTAAGTCCTTGTAATAACAACCTGAAAATAATATTATTGGTGGATTTTAATACCTTTGTTTTCTTTATGTATTTAGGTCATAGTGATGGGAGCTACTAATCGTCCTCAGGACCTTGACTCAGCTATAATGAGAAGAATGCCTACCAGATTTCATATCAACCAGCCTGTAGGTGGTTTTGAATAATATTATGAACAGTTAAATATTCACTTTCTTAAGGCCTTTCCCCATGATTTCAAGGAAGGAATGATTTTTTTAATAGGACTTACCATTTATAATAGGCTGGGAAGGAGCAGAGCAAGAATCCCTGTAATTGTTTCTTTGTTCTTTCTACTCTCTTCTTATTTCTTTCGTTCCTAAGATTAATATTTGCTTCTCTTCAAAGTATATAATTACCTCAAGTTTGCCTAGATACTTTAGTGGTTTTCTTTAGAATGTAGCAAGTTATCTATGGAAGATACATAAGAAAATCTAAATTATAATTTCGGTTTAGCATAGAATGAAATTAGGGGGATTGGGTTAAAGAATTCTGTTCAGAAGGCCTGACACTGACAGGAAGAACAACTGGGATTTGATTAATTGTTGGCAGTTGTAATCACTGCTTTCTTCTGACAGGATTAATGATTAACCAGTAGCTAAGATACTTTAACTTCATGTGAGGGTGTTGTTGAACAGGTACTGTTCTCTCTCTAGCATCCTTTTTTGTTAGTTAAGACTTACCCTCACGTAGATGATTATAATTTATTGCTATTCTATAATTTTTGCACAAAATACTCAGAACTTGGATTTTGTCTACCTTTAGATTGAAGAAGAAAGGAAGAAAAAAAAAGGGTTAGTAATAGAAGATAGGTATGGGCTATACAATCAGCATGTTACATGTTTGGCTGTGTAGAGGAACTTTTAGTTCTTTCAGATTTTGAAATAAAAATATTACAATTCGTGTATAATCTGTCTAAAAATCATTTGTCTCATTTTATGTTCTGTATCTTATCAGATCAGTTTGTGGCAATAAATATGGTTTCCTAAAGATCGATGGCTATAGCCTCTATAAATTTACTCTGATCAACTATTTGCTACAGCTAAAATCTCTGGTTCCTCTACGGCTATGCCTGTACTTAACTGCCCTATGAGAAAATTTACCTGATAAAGCAATGAAGAGATTTTTTTTTTAATTTGATGTAGGAGATAAAATATAAAATATGACTAATATTTATATGTGTCAGACACCTGCTAGTCTCTGGTGAATGGAACATGGTCCCTGTCCTCAAAGAACTCTGTGTTGCAGAGCAGTCAGACAAGCAAATAAATAATGTAAAATGTATTTTACTAAGGTGTGTTTAAAGAACTGTGAGAGCCTGAGATGATAATGAAAACTAATAATTCTATCTGAGGAGTTGGTGAAACTTAAAGAATCCAGCTGGGCTTTGAAGGATGGTAGGAATTTGATAGGCCAGTGAGGCAAGAAAAGGCTTTGCTGCCAGAATGAACAAAGGCAAGAAGGTGTGGGAGCTCATGTTTAATGGTGACTTCAGGGGAGGTTCAGTTAGGGCACCAAGGAAAATAGATGGAGATGAGACTGGAAAGGTAGTTTCCTGCCAGGTGTAGATGAACTTTGTAGGCTTTACACAAAAACTTCAACTTCCTTTTGTTAGCAAGACATCAGAACATTTTTAAAGAAAATTAGTTTACCTCAGTGGTTCTGAAAACAAAAATTACATTGATAGAATATTTGCTTATAGTCCAATAGAAAACAAAGTAGAATATAATACAATAGAACATAGGATACACAGCATGGAAAATGGCCCTTACTAAAGTTTAAAGTTGTAAGTTTAATATATTAATTTTGTGAGTTATTAAAATGAGTTGTAACAGATGTAACGAATTTGTTATACATTTGTATACTACTGTTTTTGTAGAAACTGATTTTGTAATCCTCTTTTCATTGTTTTTAGCAAATGCACACACTATAGGGTAAATTTTTGTTTTTGCATAACTATATGATGTCAAAGTATATGATTAACTTTACTTTAAAATTCCTCTCCGTGTTTAAATGCTTATTAACAAAAAGTAGTCATTCGTGATCACAGAACATATCAAATTAACCTTTACTAACGCACTTGAGTTATAGAAATAGCAGGGTTTGGTTTTGTTTTTCAAGTCATTTGATTTGATACTCATTGTAACCAGCTCTGTTTTTTCAAGGGTTGTGGGAATGGGGATGAGTTCAGCCATAATAATTCTTAAGTCATTTATAGTTACTATATGTAAAGTATTTTATAAATGCTTCTATTCTCTGGTATAATATGAATCGTTACTGGGTGGGGGAGAAGCATACAAGCATATGAACAAATATACTATCGACACTAAATAAAAATTTGCTAATGTAAATTAGTGAACATGGACATTATATGTTGAAATGAAGGAACTTAAGGGTTAATGTTGCCATCTCTTCAATTACTGGTAAACATTTTGACAGTGGTGTTTTCAGAAGTTTCCCAAATGAAGGAAAGGGGATTTGCAGAGCTGTAGAGGAAAGACATTGGTAGTCATAGGCATTCATCTACTCAAGAAAGATCTAAGGTACGCTATCTCCCGGACATTGTGCTGGCACTGGGGGCTCAGAATAAGAAGATATAGTTCAGTAGGATAACCAGGAATGATTACTCGAGAGGCTAGAATCTAGACATTGCTTTAGCCAGTAGTTTCCATGACCTCTTTCAGAGTTTCTGTCATTCCCTATAGGTATTGTCAGCTAGTTTACAAGGGAAGGAAGAAATACTAGGAAAACTAGTTGATCCTTATTTTTTTTAAAAAATGATAACTGGAAATTATCCTGGTTTTAGGCTCTAAAACAAAGAGAAGCAATCCTGAAACTCATCTTGAAAAATGAGAATGTAAGTAGAAAATTACAATTTTCCCTATCCTACTTATGTTCATTAAATTACTTTAGAGATACTAAATAAAATGGAACTTGAGAATAATGTAGCTTTGAACTTGATGTAAATTACTGTAAACCTCTTGCTTGCTTGTGTAACTCAACAACTATGGTATACTTGAACTAATTAAAGATAACCTGCTTTTTAAAAAGCCATGTGTTTTCCTAGCTACACATTAAAATGCTCTGATATTTTTCAGATTGTTTTCCAATTATATAAGATGTTTATTTTTATACAGAAGTATGGGTTTTTTTTAATTTAATTGCAATTATTTTTGAAGTTGAAATTTAGATTTAAAAGGTATGATAATCAAAATCTTCAATACTTTTTGTGTTTAAGGTTTTTAAAAATAGATAATATAATCACATCTTTCAAAAATTAAAATATATTAAGTGGTGTACAGGAAAAAGTCTCAGTTTCTCCCCTGTGTTTCTTCTGTATTGTTTCAGATGGTATTTTGCCTATGTAAGTAAATTAAAATATACTGTTAGTCCTTTCCCTTTTTCTACATAAACCATGTTAATAAACCCCCATGCATTGTTTTTTTCACTTGTCTTTGAAATCTTTCCATATTAGCGTATAGTTTCCTGATTCTGTTCTCTTTTTTCTTTGCACTGTGTAAGGTATACCATAATTTATTTAATCAGTGCCATATTGAAAGACATCCTGGTGATTCTGGTTTTTCACTATTATCAAATACTGCATTGAATAGCCTTGTACATATGTCATTTCACACTTGTGCAGGAATATTAATAGGGTGAATTTTCCAGAAGAGGAACTGCTCGATATTTGTAATTTTGGTAGCAATGGCCAAACTGTCCATGCCCTGTTGACTCTCATTCCAGCAATACAGTAGAGTGCCTTTTCCCTACAGCCTTGCCAACAGAACACTATGGAACCGTGTGCCACCATGACAGATAGAAAATGATCGCTCACTATAATTTTAATTGCATTCTGTAGGGATGAAATGCATTATCTATTTTAAGAGCCACTTGAATTTTTTTCTGTGAAATACCTGCTCATATTTTTTGCCCATTTTTCTATTGCAATGTTCTGGTTTTTTTTTTATAGATTTGTAGGAACTCTAAATGTATTAGGGAGATTTGCCCTTTGTCTATATGATTTGAAAATATTTTTCCCAGTTTCTGTTTTGATTTTACTGGGGTATTTTCGTTTATCCCTTCATGGTTTCTGGGCTTTTTTCACTCCCATGTTTATAAAGGAATTTTCCAACTCTTGTTACTTTTCCCCCCAAAACTCTATAACCAAGTATATTTTAATAAAATGGTATTCCTCCCTATCCTAAACTTCATATTTAAACTCACTATTTGAACTTGCTATCTAAACTAAGAAACCAAATAAGATTCCCATAGTGAGGGATACTTGTATTTCAGTCGTTTTCCTACTTTGAATTACCATCAATCCCATGGCTAATTCTGTTCCATAACATATCTACTTATCAACCTCTCATGTTTTCCCATCACATCTCATCTGTAAATATTTTAGTTTTATCTCTAAAATAAAGAAATTTTATTTTTAGCCTAACCTGATTATACCTGGATTAGATTCAGGTTGGCAGAGAGGGAAATAGGACTACTTCTTAGGTAGAATTATACAATAATATATTATTTTATTAGGAGATATATAATATCCAGATGTCCTTTATGGTTTTATGTTTACGTTTAAATCTTTACTACATATTTGATATTTATAGGGATATATCATATGTGGTATGCATCAAACTTTGCTTTTATTTTTCCAGGTGGATACTAAGTTGTCCCAAACCGTTTATTGAACAGGCCATCTCTCCCTCATTAGAGATTCCACCTTTAATATATATTAAATTCTCATATATGTATTGGCTGTGTTTCTGGACTTTGAATCAGGTCATTGGTCTTCTGTGCCTTTGGGCACCAGCACCAGTGTTTTAATTACTGAGGCTTTACAAATTTTTTTTGAGGCTTTATAAATTTTAATAGCAAGTATGGCTTAGGTATCCCTTATTGTCCCCCAGCCCAAAGTTTCCTGGTTATTTTTCCTCATTTTTCTGTATGAATTTTAGAAATAATTTGTCTTATCCCAGAAATAACAAACACTAGTTTTTATAATTCAAGAGAATTAAGATCTTTTTGATGTTGAATCTTTTCTACCCAAAAAGCATGTATGGCTTTCTTCTTATTCATGTCTTCTCTTGTATCTTTCAGTAGTGTTCTGTTCGTGTATTTTTTTTTCATGTATTTCTTTAAACTGTATCAAAATAACATCTATGCTGTTTTGCAAAAGCTTAAAGAACCTTGCAAATTACAGAGATTGGATCATTGGTAGTAACCATTTTGGGAATCACAGAGCCTTTTAAAGAGATAGAAGCTCTATAGTCTTTCCTTAAAAAACATAAAATGTTTTTTATAATTTCAGGGAAATTCCCAAAGCCTTCCATGTATTCTAGGTAAGGAACCTACTGTCCTAGATGAGTGAGAAATCAACAAATTACATTTTGTCTTTAAATGAATATTTGATAACTGCTTTCAAAAAGACATTGTGTAGTTGTACTACTGTTTAGATAAAACACACATAATTGGTAAACCTTTAACAAGAGTAGGTATGAACAGTTTAGAGAAGAAAGCAAAGGGAGTAAAATCATTTCACAAGTTCTTTTGAATTAGGGTGACTCTATGATATGGCTACAAATTTAACAAGTGTTAGAAGGTAGTAGCTGACAATTTTATATTAAGTTATATTTAGATATATTAAGTTAATACAATTATTTAACTTAAAAAGATTTTAATGAAAGAGTACTGTGTGGCTGGAAGTTAACCTTTTCAAATTACATATGTGTAGTCTGATGTAGGTACCGATGATTTGCATATATATGATGAATATGAATAATGAGATTTCAGCTTAGTTCTCAGAAGATAGCCATACTTTACACAGGCCATCAAGTTTTCACATGTAACCTTAATCAATACTTTTTAGGGATGTCTAATTTTAATTTTGATTTCAGTATTCTTTTTTTCAACAGCAGTATCTTTGGGAATTATTTTAGAGTTCTATTTGTCATGGGTACAGGAAATTTTTAGCATTCTGTTTCTTCATGAAAGGACAAAGGATTAGTCTCTAATCAGCTTTATGGTGCAGAATATGAATGAATGCCCTCTGGATAACTGCTGACATAGGAGCATCTGATTTCCCACTAGCTGGTATTATATGCTGAAAGAATATTGTTACTTCAGTAGAATTGGAAAGACATTAATGTAATTTTTGTTAAAATATGCCTCAAATAAATTACACACACATTTATTTAATAAACTGAGCACCATCGTATTTATACATTGCTGGGCAGAATTAGGGTTTTTGATGCAAATAGACTACCAAACTTTTCTATTGTATGAGTTTTTCTTCTCTGAAGAAAAGAATGAAGCTTTTGAAATGATAGTATTTTTCGGTCTTGCACAATTCTTTATTTATAGATCCTTAATACAACTCATTTAAAAAAAGCTATAGTGGTTTCGGCTTAAAGTTTTAAGTATAAAAAGAATTAGAACTAAGAAAATGTATACCTTTGTACAAGTATCATGTTTGACTCTACAGTAAGGAGGTATATTTTTCCCTATACAAACTAACCTAAATGTATGCATTTTCTCTAACAGTAGGAATAGTTAACAAGCGTAGGCTTTGGAGACAGACCTGAGGGTCCCACATTTTGGCTTGACCATTCCCTGCTGTGTGACCTTAGGCAAATATTGTTTAGTGTCTCTATGCCTCACTTTTCTCACTTGGAAATTGGAGAGAATGCCAACAATCTCATAGAATCATTCTGAAAATGTAAATTAAATGATATATGTAAAATGCCTACAGTACCATGCAAGCATACGCCCAGTGGTAGATATAATAAATAAGTGTTGTTCTTCCAAACTATTTTAGCAGTCCATTAATTTATTCCAGGATTGTTCCCAGTACTTAAAGCCTTTTTGAACTTGGGAATTGTCTTCCTAGTTGCCTGTTGAAAACAATTCTCATTACTTCATGGTTTATCTAATAGGTGTTCCCTTATAAAAAGGGTTTCTTTTAGAGTACTTGCTATGTGCAAGCATTGTGGTGGGATACACAGTTGACCCTTGACAGCATGGGTTTGAACTGTGTGGGTCCCCTTTTATGTGGATTTTTTTCAATAAATACATATCATACTGTAAATGTATTTTCCCTTACGATTTTTTAAAATAACATTTTCTTTTCTCTAGCTTGCTTTATTGTAAGAACACAGTATGTAATACATATAACATACAAAATACATGTTACTTGACTATGTTATCGGTAAGTCTTCTGATAAACAGTAGGCTATGAGTAGTTAAGTTTTCTGGGAGTCAAAAGTTATATGTGGATTTTCAGCTGCATGGGGGTTGGCACCCCTAACCCCCGTGTTGTTCAAGGGTCATATGTACATTGTTTTATTTAATCCTCAGTTCATGTAAGGAGTCCATATGAGTACTATTTCACAGTTGAGGAAACTGAAACCCAGAAAACTTATGTGATAAGTTGCCCAGGCTCCCAGAGCGTGGCAGTGGTGGATCCCTTCACTTAACCGTATGGTGTGCTGCGTCTGTTCATCAGTCTTGCTCCCTCAGTGACTCTCATCTGCTTCTTGTCATTTTTTCTCATACTTCTTTTGTTCATTTTTGTAACTTTATCACCCTGTCATGCACAAGATATGGGAGTGGTTTAAACATAGTGTGTGGCCCACCCAAGGAGTGGTCAAAAAATAGGGTGGTGGTGATTGTTTTAGGAAGGAGACTAATTTTTTTTTTTTAAGATTTTTATTGGGGAATTGGGGGATGGGAACAGTGCTGGGGAATTGGGGTAAGAGGAACAGACAAGGTACTGCCCTGTAGAGGGCAGTGTCACTGGCCCTCATATGTGGGATCCGAACCGGGGCCCTCTGGCGTCCCAAGCCAGCTCTTAACCAACGTGCCACTCGGCGGGCCCTAACAGGGGGACTAATTTTTAACATCTCAGTATAATTTGAAAGATCTTGTTAAGTACTTGTTTGTTTGTTTTTTAATTTATGAAATATTTGAAACATACACAAATAACCTCATATTCCCCACCCATATTTAACAGGTGATCTTAACATATTTTGCTTTTCCTCTCCCCCAGTCACAGTCATTGTTAGCCTCCTGTCCTGATGTTGGTAGTTGTATCAGTTCCAATTATAGTTATGGACAGATACATAATACATGTGTATGTTATTTTTAATTGTTCACTATTACAAACAGTAGGGAGATTAGATCCTTGTATGTATATGATTTCATATGTATACTTGTAAAAAGGGTTCCTGAGACATAAAAAAGTATAAACTACAAGAAAAATAGACAAGTCTGACTAGGATCACACTAATGCTTCCAGAAGTGTGACAAGGTAACATGAACAAAGAGAAAGAACAAGCCATTGGGAAAACATTTGCAACCTTATAACCATCAAAGGACTAATATCCAAATTAAACAAAATTACTGTAATCAGTTTGTCAAGTTTTATTTGTGTGCATTATTAGATCATAGGTGATAAACTAGTCCTAGAAACTTACTATCTGAAATATCAGTATATGAAACATAAGTTTAAAATCTCCCAATATTATTATGTACTTGTCCATTTCTCAATGAAATTTTGGTAATTTTGCTGTATATATTTTGAGGCCATGTTGTTAAATGTATAATAGTGCAGGATTGTTATATTTTTCTGGTGAATTATTTTTTTATCAATATCTGATGATTCCTATTCCAGATTATTTTGAGTAAAAAGAATCTATTGATATAATGTAAATAGGGAGTACATTTGATTTCTTTTGGTTAATATTTGCCTTCAATATCCTTTTCCAATCTTTTACTTTTCAACTTTTGGTGTTTTTCCTTTCAAATGTAACTGAGCCTGTTTTTTGTTGTTTTTTTTCTACTGGGTGTGACTCTTATAAACCTCAAATAACTACATTTTGGTTTTTTATGCAGTTTAGTCTTGTCTTTTACCAGCCTAGTTTAGTCTGTTTGGATTTGTGGTGATTACTCATAAATTTGGATTCATTCTCTATGTTAGTGCTTTCCATGTATTATGCTTTGTCTTTGCTTTCTCTCCACATACCACACCCCCTTCCCCCGTGTTATTTAGTTCTATTGTATTCTTTATTCTCTTTTCCCCTTTTTCTACTGGTTTGGAAGTTATTCATTCTTTCTTAGTGGTACTCTTAAAATGTAGCGGTACCCTTAAAATCGTTTGATACATGTACCTAACATCCAAGTTAATGATATGTCTGTCCTCTTTCCAGTACTATAGTTTTAAGACTTTAGAATGCCTTAATGTAGATGTGTCCCCTCTGTTACATGTTCTTATTGTCTAGCATTTTAGTTCTACATGGTTTCTCTATCCCAAATTAAATTATATATTAAAGCTTATTTAAATTTACCTATATGTTTACCATTTTCTTTGCTTATTATCGCTGCTTGCTTGGCACCTACCTTCTAGGTGCACTTTTCATTTTTATCAAAGAGTATGTAATTTCTATTTAACCCCCACATTTAGCAATCAGAACACTGAAAATGTGAAGTCACAGTTGCAGAACTGACAATAGACCCCATATCTTCTCACCTGCAAGCCTCTTGTCCTTGTGTAAAGTTATACAAACACTTGGTCCTCCACATAAACAAATGGGAATTTAGTAACTAATAAAGGTGGCATTTCAAATCAGTTGGACAAAGTAGATGTTAAGACAAATGGTTAGCTAAATGGGGGCGGAGGGTACAGTAGGACCTCTCCCACGCTGTGTTCAACTCCTGGCTCTGGCAATGGTGTGACCTTGGGCAAGTTATTTCCAGGTCTCACTATTACAAAAATGAAAATGAGAATACGTAACCTGACAGGATTAAATGAGAATACATGTAAAGTGCTTAGTACACTGCATGACACGTAAGACTCATTTAATAGATGGTAATTATTATAAATAAATTTTTTTTCGCTCTCATTTTCTCTTCTTAATCTACATATAAGTTTGGTATGTTTATTTTCTCAAGTCTATTATGTGCCCTGTACAATCACTTAATTGGCTCGACTATACATAATCTTATGTTGGGGAGCAAAACTATAAGGCGCTGAATTAATGCTGAGGTAGTAGAATACCAAAACATTGCAGTTAAAATGATTTAGAGTAGTTCAGTGAAATATGTGTTTTGTAATGGACTTGGGACTTAATGATGCCGGCTATTTGCCAAGTATGTTGAATATATCATAGAAAAGTGTTACTCGGGACCTTTCTAAGAGCTTCTAAAGTGAATCCAGCATTGTTTGAATGTCTTCTTCAATATCACTCCATGATGTATCTAGTGAGACTTATTCCACTACTTTTGTCATAATGACAAGTAATGAAAATTCTATTTCAAACTTTAAGCTTTTATGTTTAAAAAAACTTCTAGAAACTGAAAATGCTTTTTAGTGATTCTCCTTCCATGCTGTTCCAATATACTTAACATTCTTTAATTCTAAGAAGAATGTTTGGATAGATCCTTTGCAGTATATTTTGCATTTGTTTGTTTTTTTAAACATGTTTTATATTTGTTTAAGGTGGATAGACATGTGGACTTGCTAGAAGTTGCCCAGGAAACTGATGGGTTTTCAGGAAGTGACCTAAAAGAGATGTGTCGAGATGCTGCCCTCCTCTGTGTCAGGGAATATGTTAATTCTACATCAGAAGAAAGGTATGTGTATATAGAGTTGATCTGCAATACTTATCAAACCCTTTTAGAGCTTTTAGGTTAGTTTCTTTTATTTTGCTTTACAATACCAACTCTGCTTATGGCATAAGAGGTAAGTTGGAATTAACAACCTCCCCCCCACAACTTTATTTATTGCCTTTTTCTAAAGGGGAGCTCTGAAAATGAATTGGGGGGAGGTTTTCAGGAGGGCCTAGAAGGAAGAGGAAGAAATAAAAGCTAAATTTCTACTGAAAATCCATGGACTCTATCACAGAAAGCTGACAAAAACTTAGGTTTGTCCATCTCTACTAGGAAAACAGGGATCTCTAGTACTCCTAGATTGCTTTTATATCTTAAATTCTTAAGTTTCATTTCATATGGAAATGAATGCCTTGTCTTCCAGAAATTCACATGTAAGTAGGGAGGCCTTACTTGGGACTAGACTTCAGCTTGTTATTAATAATAATAGATTTAATAAACAAAGAAACCATTTGTCACTGCAGCATACTTCACTTGCAACCTGTCTCAAAGTATGATGAGGTTGAGAACATGACTTTGTACCAACCTTATTCCAGCAAAGATACTAGTGAACTGGAATAACTCAGCCCTGGTAAACAATGTTCCTTAAGGAAGTCCTCCAAAAGGCTATTTGCCCCAACCCAGTATAACACTGCATTTCTAAACCCCTGTTCAAAGTAGCAACCTTCTTAACGAAGAATCTCTGCAACTTAGCAACCAGTGTACATTGGGGGCTTGTGTTGAATGAGTTCTCCACCTTTTGCCCCTTCGTTTCTCAGTCTCCCTTCCTCATCCTCCCCAGGCTTTCACTCCAAGTGACCTGGATCTGCCTGTTGTATTCATGTGTTTAATTACAGTGCCATGTCATAGCAAGCTTCACCAAGAAAAAAAACTTCACTTGGTATAGAAAGGTTAGCATGCAAGCTACCCTGTTACCCCTAGCTTTGTATGCATGAGGCCCAGACCTATCTTCAGTGCTCCCTTGAGCCCCATCATGAAGAGGGCAACTCTGTTTATATTTATTTGTTGTCAGGTTGAGCCAATTACTCTAGTGCTAAAGCTGGGAATATTTTACCCTCTGCAGACAATCTGTCTTCCGAAGGTTTTTTTATTCTTGTATATAAGATTAAGAGGAGGAAAAAAACAACTTACAAATAAATTTTGCTTAAATAAAATGACATTAACAATGAAAGTCTTGTTTTTTTGCTGTCCACAAAGCCCTGAAAATTTTATATTTTCAATATGAAAAATCTGGCTAATAGACTTGGGTTATCATAACTTTTCCCAAAATGTTTTTTTCTAAGTGTCTATAAATTACAAACGAGACATAATATACTGGATTTTGTTTTTCTTATTATTAAAGTGGGGAGGACTTAGACAAGTTGGTTTTTATGAATAGCAAAGAATTTTATTTTCAGTTCATCGAAAGCTAAACATGTACATGATTATGTAGGAATGCTACTTTTTAATTCTAGTTTTCATGGGAATAATATTTGACTCATTATTTGGAATTATATTCCCATTTTGGTAAACTGACACCTTTGTATAACATTTTCACCTTAAGGTAATATTCTGTACTTATTTTCTTATTGTGAAGTATTTGATTTTAGTTTCCACATCTATGTTTATAGCCAGCCATTTTAGCTTCATACCTCTTATTAATCAGTGCTTTTTAAAAATCTCTGAAGACTTGTATATATGCACAGATAATTCCTAAAAGGGTTCACATGAAGCTTTTAATTATGTTGTCTTTGGGGTCTTGGATGAGAGATTTTTTTAATCATGGTAAAATATTTTAGGGAGCTGTATTCTAAAGTTATTTGACTATGTGGTTGTTTTGTTTGCAATTTAGCCACGATGAAGATGAAATTCGGCCTGTGCAACAACAGGACCTGCATCGGGCAATTGAAAAGATGAAGAAATCAAAGGACGCAGCATTTCAGAATGTTTTAACACATGTTTGTTTAGATTAAGAGTAAAGGTCATTTGTACAGTTGAGTGTGACCTGGTTTGGTATGCACTGTTATCATTAGTGGAAATAGACTGGAAGGAGGAACATTCTTTAAACAGTGAAGGAGTTGAATGACCCTGGTTTTGTACTCTGAATTTTAAGTTATTGAGATATAGTTGTTACATAAACGGTATTACTACTTGTCAAAAATCATGAGGAGGAACAATTTAATCCAACCTGAGTGTGGGTGCTTATGTTTGACCTCTTTAGCCATATATTGCAGCCTTATAGCATTTAGACTGGTCTTAAAAGTAACAAAAGATTCAGTGAGAAAAGGGGGGGTGTGGTTAAATGCTGGTTTCTAGATATGTGAGTGAGAGAGAGAGAGTATTACATGTATATATTTACACATTTTATATTGACATTCTGTAGATACGTTTGAGTAAGAAACATTTTTTTACCCCAACTGCTGAATCAAAAAGTATCAAATAGTATATAGCGAAACTAAGATTGAAGGATGTGTCTAAAAGTTATAGTGGTTCAGCCATTTTCAGTTGCCACTTGTTTCAGCTTTTTTTTTAGTTGAGCATTTCTCTGCAATTGAATAGTTGAAATCAGCCACACCTGAATATTTCAATGTAGCTCAATTATTAAGGTTGTTAGGATAATCAAATAAAAATACTTGTTCAGTGATCAGCATTGAATAGTTTTCAGGCAGTTGCGTGATGAACACTGATTTCATCTTTTTCTGCAAGCACACTGTGTAATGTTTTTAATTGATATACGTAAAGGTGAATTGAAAGCCTTTCAAAAGAATGGCTTTGCAAAACCTCAGTGCCACTCAAAACATGCATGTGACTTTTTTTCCTTCATTTAATGTAACATAGTTCTGTTGAAACCATGTTTTTTTTTAATGTTATTATAAAGTTATATGTTCTTCAATTATGGTCAAATACAATTTGGTCATCAAAAATGAAAGTTTGAAGCAAATAGCTGTTACTAAATGTGCTAAAAATACTCATTTTGTAACTGAAATTTTTAAAGTTTTCTTAGCATATTATAATGTGCCCTAGTTAGTACAGATATACACATCAAAATTCCCATATTGTATCTGTAGTCATTTGATGCAACGTGCACTACGTGTAGGTGAACCATTTTGTTTTGTCCAAAATTTCACTAGCCAGAATTCTTTGTAGGCACTTAAACACACAGCATGAGGCAAATGGCACAATACAACCTTGAGCAACTTCTGAATCATAAGAAAGATTAAATTATGCTTTCATATATTTTTGTTAATATATTTCTTTGAAAACTCTTAATCTTTATTCATGAGTTATTGGATTCATTTCTTTGATAATAAGCCTCTCACTAGAACCTATTGAATAGTTTGGTTTTCAGTTTGCTTTGAGTGGTGGGTGGGATAGAGGTTATGGGAGAACACTTTGGATAACATAAAGCAAATTTTGAAAAATTGTGAAGATGATTGAAAAATTGAATGCAAACCACAAGATAACCAAAAAACTTTCATCTCCATTTTTAATAATTATACTATTATTTTATAAATGTATAATAAAGAGGTCCCTCTTAATTGATTTTTCTCAACTTATGCCTTGGTCTTTGTCACTTATGTAGAATTTTCTGGGGGGTTTTGGTATGTAAAACTTACCCTTGAACTGTTTTTATCTTGCTATGTAGCTTTCACACTTTTATAGCGTACATGCTAGTATCTAATCATTATTTCTGATTAGTATGAATTTCAGTAATCATTTAATTTTAATCTGATGACATTGATAAAAAAAAAAGGGGGTGATGTATCCCTCCTTATGTCCTTTCTTTTTATCTTCTCTTAAATCCAGAATATCCAGTAGTAGTAGTCATTAACTTTATCATGGTTTTAATCATCACATGAAGTTAGAGAAACACATTAATCCCAGCAACCATGACTCATCTAGGCATCTTATACCTTAAAGTAATTGAGAAAACTTTAGTATTTTTTTTTTTTGCTTACAGTTTCTGACTGAAAACATGCATCTTCCCTAGGTGATAAATGCTGGGAAAGGCCCGTCTTAGTTAGTTAGTTATATTATAGTTAACATGTAGTTTTATATGAGTTTCAGGTGTACAACATAGTTATTCAACATTTATATACCTTAGGAATTGATCACCACGATAAATCTAGTAAGCATCTATCACCATACAAGTTACTACAATAGACTATATTCCCTATGCTGTACATTATATCTCTGTAACATTTTTTTTATAACTGGAAGTTTGTACCTCTTACTCACCTTCACCTTCTCCCCCTTCCACCTTTGGCAACCGCATTTGGTTCTCTATATTTGAGCCTGTTTCTGTTTTGTTTGTTCATTTGTTTTGTTTTTCAGATTCCACATATAAGTGAAATAGTTCGGTTTTTGTCGTTTGACTTATTTCAGTTTAGCATAATATTCTGTAGGGCCATCCATGTCACAAATGGCAAGATTTTATTCTTTTTTATGGCTGAGTAGAATTTCATTGTATATGTATACCACATCTTCATTCATCTATCAGTGGACACTTAGGTTGCTTCCATATCTTGGCTATGTGAATAATGCTGCAGTGAACATAGGGGTTCATGTATTTTTTTTAATTAAGTGTCTTCATTTTTTTCAGGTAGATACCCAGAAGTGGGGTTGAGGAAACTTTATACTTTTGAAGAACATTTAGTGTTATATAATCCATCCTGATGTAGGCATGTATTTGAGATACATAGTTGGAGTTAGGTTCTGAGGTATTTCATTTTGGGTATCAGCTAAGAATACTGGAGCTGGAGTTAGACTGGCCTGAGTTTAATTCTAGGCTCCCCATTAATTAACTGTCCTTGGACAACTTACCTAACTTCTTTGAGCTTCAGTTTCTCATTTATAAAATGGTGTGACAGGGGCACCTACTGAATAGGGTTGTGTAATGGAATGATGCATACAAGACTCTCAGCACAGTGCCTGGCACAGTTAAACTGCTCAAATGCTCGGTGTCATGTTACTTTCTTACTTTTACACACTGATGGTACGTATTTGGTGACTAGGCTCAGTTTTTGAGCATTCTACATGCTTAGCCATTTCCATAATCCCCAAACCTATACTCTAAAAGAATGAGATTGCAATGATTATCTGTGTGATGTTTCTTTAAAAGCCTCATGGCTGGAAGACTTCTGAGAAGTCTGGTGTGTCTCCAACTTTCCCCAGTCCTTTTTAAAATAGAGTATAGTACCTAAATATTTTAATCAATTCAGTATCTCCTTTATGATTTCTCTCCTTTTTATCTTATTTAACCCCCAACCTGCAGCGTGACCCAGAACTCACCGTGTTACCAAAAGCTGGGTTGGGATAATGTATATATCCTATGTGGATCATAATAATGTAACATTAGTAGCTATAACTACTACTAGGTTTGGTGTTAGATCAGGATACCTGAAGCCTCGAGTGTGCCTATATAAAAAATGGCAGCATCCCTCATTGGTAAGATTTTTTTTTTTCTGGAATTGTGTTGTGGACAAATGTTACAACTTTCTTCTGGATAAAGAAAATAAATTGGATAATGCATACTTTAGAATTCTCTTTTTAGCTTCTCTTAAGGTCAATATCAGAATGTGGAATAGAATTCTGATATGCTGAGCAGCATATATATCCTGCATAACTGAAACCTCAGCACCAACTAGAAAGCTCAAATAAAGCCATAGAATCATTTCATTTACAGCTGACAGAAATCTGTAGAGGGCCTTCATTATTAAATTTGTTAACAGTCAGTTTAGTCATCAAAGATAGAGTTCCCTAATTGTCTCAAAAGTTAAAGCTCTCTTTACATGTATAGGTAAAAATTCTAAGACATCACGTTCATGGAATTGTATTGAGAAGATATATAGCACAGATTCCAGGTGCAAATGAGATCAAACCTCAAAGAAACCAGTTAGCAATGGGAGTGAAAACACACCCTCAGTAACACTGGTGTAAATTTTACACTATTAATACTAATAGCACATATAGGCCTCATTACTAACATACTGAGAGTATATTTTTGTGATTGTCTAATATTTACAGTTATAAACCTGCTTAAGAACACTTTTAGATGTAAGCTTTGTGCTTTGAAATGCAGTTGCAGTGAATGTTAATGCTGGTGTGGACAGCAAGGACACCGATTTTTGAATCATGACAACTCAGTTTTAAAACGAGCCAAACATACTGAAATAATTACAGACATGCAAAATTTGGAACTTAGAACAGTGGTGTATGCCTCACTAGCTTCCAGAAATTCTAAGAAAAAAGATACTGACATAGGGGGTGACATATCATCTAGTAAAACAAAGTCCTTTGCAGACATGTCTGAGGGAGATGAGCATTGTCTACTGGGCCATAATGTAGAGTACTAGTTAGGGTTCTGTTGCAGGCAAGCAACTCTAGCTGACCTGAGCAATAAAGAATTTATCTGAAGGATATGAGGAGCTCATGAGGTCAAAGAGAAGCTAAAGAACTGGAGTTAGGATAGAAACTCAGAAAGCTCCAGAAGGTATTCGGGAATTGCTTAAGAATATTGTTTTTATTCCTCTACGGGATGAAATGAACTCCCAACTGTTGATCTCTAAATTATCCAATCAAGATTCAAAATCCTGGAAGTGAGTGTGCAAACCCAGGTCAGAAATCACTGCATTAGAGATCCAAGATGGCGGAGTAAACAAACACTACCTGCTTCCTTCCATGAACACATCGAAATTACAACTAAATTACAGAACGATCAACCTGGAGAACCATCTGAAGTCTGGCTGAACAGAAGTTTTATAACTAAGGATATAAAGAAAAAGCCATGTCAAGACTGGTAGGTTCGGAGACATGGAATTGGCTAACCCAAACCTCCGTGTGGCACTTGAGAACTGGCAGGGATATCTCGGCCACAAAGGCTCCCCTCAGAGCGAGGGACCCCAACCCCACACTGGCCTCCCCAGCCCAGAGCACCGGTGCCTGGAAGAGGAGCCCCCACGACCTCTGGCTGTGAAAACCAGGATTTTGACCATTTGGATGAGACGGAAGGCTGTGGGAAGCCCAGGCGTCCTCTTAAATAGCCCGCACACAGATTCACTCCCTGGCACTCACCTTGGGCTCCAGCGGAGAGACAGTAACTCAGGAGGTGTTGGAGACATATGGGGGACAGACAGTTCTGTGGCTTCCGGACGAGGGCTAGAGGACAGTCGGAGGAGTCCTCCCATACAGCCAGCAGGTGGGCGCCATGTTTCCTGTGTTGAGCCCGCCCCCTATGCTTATGGCCACATCTGAATCTGATCGGCGGTGAGCGCAGCTCCACCCTGCTGACTCACTGAGACCCCACCCCACCCAATTCCCTCAACACCAGAGGCAGTTTCTGCAAGAGCAGCCAGCCCCCCCCCCCACATTGCCCTCTTTCTTGGAAAACTATCAGAGGCAGACCCCAGGTTGGTGGCTATTGGCCTCAGTGTGTTCTGAGACTTACTGAGTAGCTCCAGGCTCAGCACTGGCACCAAATCAAAATTTACATTCACCTGGTGACCACAACTCTTCCCACTCTAGAAACTCTGTGAGACCTTGCCTCACCCAACTTGTGTACCGCACAAGGTTTTATCAGTGGTTGAGCCTTAAGGGAGCTGGCAGGTGGCAACAGGCCTTGGGGTGTCCAGACATTTTGCGGAGCTACCCCAGGCCTGGTACTGGTGGCAGACGTCCTCAGTTCACAGTGTGGCCTCTCCCACGTGCCTCCAGGGTTAGCACAGATAGTGAACAAGCACGTATCGCTTTGTAGCTCTTACTATGTATGACCCATCTGGTCACAGGCAGTGGCTGACCTTGGCCTGCACCTGGAACCCCTGTCAAGAAGCCCCAGAACCAACATACTTGGGTGTTTGCTTCAGACCACAGCAGAGCACTGCCCAGTTAGCCCCACAAGTGGCACACCAAAAAGGTGGTCTCAACAGGCATCACAGCCCACTGAGGGAAATCCCACTCAGTGGGGTAAGCCCTCCTCCGCACAGCAGCCTGTAACCTGTGAATGTGGCCAAATCCCACAGCCCATCAGCTTAAGAGTTAACCCCACCCAATAACATTCCGATAGCACCTAAGGCTCAACTATAACAGGAGGGCACACACAACCCACACTAGGGACATTCTTAGAGCACCTGGCTCAGGTGACCAGAGAGGCTGTGCCAGGGCCCCATAGGGCACCTACTACATAAGGCCATCTGGCCAAGACTGGTAAACATAGCAGATCTACCTAATACATAGAAACAAACAGGCAGTCAAAATGAGGAAATACATCCCAAATGAAAGAACAGGAGAAAACACCAAAAAAAGAACTAAACGAAATGGAGGCAAGCAACCTACCAGATACAGAGTTCAAAACAATGATTATAAGTCTTGGAGCTTTGAGAGAATGACCCTCCAGGAACTCCTTCGGCTTAAATGGTTTGAGAGCAAGTATCTGGATTTACTGACTCATCGAGACTAAATGCAAAAGGAGAGCTGTATTTCATCCAAAGGAAATTGAGTCTTGTGGGGAAGCTGGCTGCACACACAAAACATGAAAAGTGACCAGCTAATCACAAGAAGCTATAAGCATATGCTAAATGAAGAACAGTGTTATAATTCAGGTGTGCTGGCATGCTGGAGGTATGAGCACATACAGTACAGTTTGTGTGGAGACCTTCAGGGACTGCTTGGTCCGATCCCATAAGCTCTTGATGACAGAGTGCTATTTGGCATGCCCAGCTCTTTAGCTGGGTGATTCAAAACTTTTTAACTCGTAATTTATCCTGTTCCAGGTAGTGCGTATAAAAAAGAACAGTGGGGACTGAAGCATAACATTGATTGTTATATTTCCAGTGAGTATAAGTCCTTTCCTATGATAGGCAGTCGGGATGAAGGACTGACTGATCATTCACTTCCCTTCTAGTATAATTAGGCTGGCTCTGGGCTGTAGGTTTAATAAGATTGACTTGACCAGGCTTAGCCCAACCCATGGACCTGCCTTTTGATCTTGTCAATATTTGAGCTGGGAATGGTTTGGGTTGCAGGTTTATATGTTTGTGGTTCTTTGTATTCAGTTCTGACAGGGCTCTGGAATCCAGTCAATGTGAGAATGCACAAGACTTTCCTCTTCTGTTATTTTCTCTGTAAAATCCAGGGAAGGGGGATTGTCTAGCCTGGCAGTTTTGTTTTTCAATATGTTTCCAGGTTTCAATCACCATTGTCTGAGTGTTGGCTGAATTCTCATCTCTGCAAAGTCTCTCCATCTAGGCAGGCCTGCTCTTCCATGTATTACATCCAGACTCAGGAGTCTACCCCTGATATAAAAAAGTACCAAGGTTCTCTGCTTACCTCTGAAGGGCTTGGCTTGTTTCTCCCTGGAAGGAAGCTCATTAAGAATTTCTTGGGTTGGCCGAGTGGCACATTGGTTAAGAGCTGGCTTGGGACACCAGAGGGCCCCGGTTCAGATCCCACATATGAAGGCCAGTGACACTGCCCTCTATAGCTAAGATGCTGAACAACAGCTCAACCTGGAGCTGGGCTGCCGTGAGTCGCCAGCGACAGCGTAGGCTGCAGCCCATGCTGCAGTGGGTTGCCATGGGCTACCGTGTGTAGCCAGCAGCCACCGTGAGCAGCTGTCCAGAAGCCAGTGACTGATCTGCCTCGCCCGGGAAGAGCGCAATGATGGTGCCAACTTGGGCCAGTGAAGCAACGTCCTCCACAACTAGACTGAAGAACAAAAGGACAGCAACTTATCTGTTCCCCTTCCCCCAATTCCCCAGCGCTGTTCCCATCCCCCAGCTCCCCAATAAAAATCTTAAAAAAAAAAAATCATATGAAAATGTTTTGGAAGCTAGGAAGTGAATATGTCTGTAGGTTATCATGTCCCTAGGCAAATCATCTCTGACTCTGGGCCTCCATTTCCTTATGTCTACAGTAATGGAAATGCTGAAATAGATGTGCTTTTCACTAAACAGCACACGCAACAGTGGCCATATCGATAAACGGAGAGCCCTTAGCAATATTGACCTTATCGTTAGGACTTTTAAACTGGGTGGCTTTCTTAGCTACCGATGGGTGTCACCCTTGGTAAATGGATTTGTCTTAATAGGCACAAATTATGAAACATGCCATTACATAGACAAGTCAAAGACACTCTCTGTACCTGGTGTTTCTGTGTGTTAAACTTATTTCATTGGCTCTGTTGAAGCTGTAGGTTTTTCTTTGGTTTGTTTACCTTGAATATCCAAAGATCTGGTACTTCATATAATTCTTTTATGTTTTGAGGATATGATCGGGATACAACCTCTGTAGTGGTTGATGGAATTAATTTCTTCCATGAAAGTAGGTTCTTGGTGAATACACTTATACATGGCAATCTTTTAATTAGTTTAAAATGCCAGATCAATACTGGAGTTGTTTACATGAAATAATCCATTATTATTTCAACCTGTGCTGAGCTGAGCTTTACCTTTGAGCTATTTATAGAAAGCAGGCTTATGCAATAAACATAAATCCAGATTTTTCTTTACCCAGAAGTTTTCATACTATATTACAGTTTGTAAGAACTTTCACATACATTATTTTAGTAAAATAGGCACAGAGCAGATTTAAGCTTCTGAAACAAACCAGCTGTATTTAAGAACTTTACCAAGTGTGATATTAATGATGCCAGCAGTTACAAATACATATTATGATAGTAAAAGAGTTCTGCCCATCATTTTGTTGCTTATGTATTTGAAGGTAGTAAAATGGTATTACATTTTAAAACATTCTGTTATTTAGATTTCTTACTAATTGAGACTGACTTTCTCTGTAGTTAGTCCAAATTAGAATGTCTATGGAAAGGGTAATAGACCTGGAAGGTAGGGGAAGGTACCTTGGTCACAAAAGATAAATCATTGAACAACTACCAAGGCTCACCTATGAAAGGCTTGTTTCTCAGTTCATCAAGACTTCCTTCCATCCACCATTTTGCTAGCCCCATAGAAAAGCATTGTTTTTATTTTGTCTAGGTTTTTCTGTATCAAACTATAATATCCAATCTCTAGCCACTGACCCATTTATTTTTAGTAATAATTTCAATTCAGTATTCTGTGGAATCTATATTAGTGAATTGCTTTTATATCACTTTCTTCATTTTGTGAATGTGTATAAATGAGTGGCACAATACATAATACTTAATAATGCTAGGGGGAAGAAAAATAACTGGTTACTATTCCAATATCTATATGGTCAATTCTTGATAATTTATACATTTTTGGTAATGGGGATATGCTCAAATAATAGAAACTTGTATCATTCAAAAACTCATAGGCAGGGGGCTGGCCGAATGGCTCAGTTGATTAAGAGTTTAAGTTGATTAAGGCTTAAGAGCGCAAGCTCTGAGCAACAGGGCTGCCGGTTCGATTCCCACATGGGCCAGTGACGCTGTGCCCCAGCTGAGCTGTTGCTGAGCTGTCGCTGAGCTGCCAACAGGTAGCAGGATGGTTCAGCTGGTGTACTAACAAGATTGCCTGTTTGATGGTGGGCTATGCCCACCCACAACTAAGACTGAACTCAGTACCTTGAGCTGAGCTGCCGCCCAGATTGCTCAGTGGATAGAGCGTGTGCTTTTAACAACAAGGCTGCTGGTTTGACTCCCACATGGCATGGTGGCTACGCCCACCCGCAACTAAGATTGAACACAGCATCTTGAGGTTAGAGGCCAAGAGCTGCCAACGGGCAGCCAGATGGCAACTGGCGTCCTCCACAACGAAGACTGAAGAACAACAACTTAGCTGTTCCCCTTCCCCAATTCCCCAACACTGTTTCCCTCCCCAAATACCCCAATAAAATCTTCAAAAAAAAAAAATTCATAGGCAAAGGCTGCACTGTGGTTTTCAGTCTAATATTTTAATCATGTACTGGGATACTCTAGACCATTTACATTTAATGTAATTACTAATATAGTTAGATTATTTATACTTATCCAACATGTTAAGTTTTTCATATTATTTGAAACAGCCATCTTATCAGAATCACTTCTAAGTAATGAAGATAATTTGGAAATAATTAGTATAAAATTATGGTGGTTAAGTAAGCAGCTGAACTTAAACAATTTATCTTTAAAAAAAAAAACGATTTTAAAATGACTAGATTTTCTACATGCAAAACCGATGGGTTAGTTTGATACACAGTCCAACAATGGAACAGATGGTAAAAAAAATTGGACCTAAAAGACAGGTAATAGAAAGGAGGAAGATAAGGAAAAAACAAAAATGAACTTGATGTAGCCAAGATTCATTTCTTCTTGCTGGGAATATGGGTTGGAAAGAAATCTATGTATTAAAGTATGCCATTATGATTTACACATGCCTTTCCTGGATTTTTTTCACACTGCCCTGTACAGTTTGGCATAATCCCTCACCACCACTTACATGTTCATGTCCTTACACATTTCCTGCCCTACTTTGTCCTAAGTGTCACTAGGGGTCAGCAAGCGAGGATCTGGGGAGAATGAGGGAGGGGCAACAAGCGGCAGCTCTCAGTTTGCTGTCACACCAGTTTTATTTGGAGTGAGGACAAGTAGCAAAAATTTTCATTAAGTTGTTAGGACATAAGCAAGGCAGGGACTCAAACCCAAACTATGGGCCTATCTGAAGGCCAAGGAAAGTATGGGTAGAAACATACTTTTCTGCATACAAAAGTAGTAACTGCTGAGATTAGTGGAGGTATGAGAGTTGTTGCCAAAAACAGACAAACAAAAAACCCCACCATTGCTTCCAACCCTGCTGGTTAAACTCCTTGGGGGCACTTTCAGAAAAGAGGGGCAAGTTAGAAAATAGAAAAGTGAGATCCTCATGCAATGAAATCTGGGGGAGTGGTCCCTGAGGAGCCCAGTCACCTCTAAAAATATCACTGTAATACTTGGCTGAGACCATGTGTGATTCACATGTAGAGCACCGTTTTTAAAATGACATGAATAAGGGCAAACAGCCTCTTAATTATGGTCTGAAAGAGCTGCTGCTGTTTCTCTCCAGTTACATGAAGTCCCAAAGCCCTCAACAATCATATGGTCAACTCACACTCAGTGTTACAGGCAGGAAAGACACGGCCTCCATTTTGAGAAATTTATTAAAATAAGAACAAGCATCAATGTACATACAAATAATCATATGCACTGTGTGGTGCTAGAGCAAAAGAGCAGTTTTAAATATATTTTTAAAAATCACAAAATATATTGGTTAAGGCACTACATCCTGTCTCATATTTTTAATAAATATGCTGTTTTTTTTTTAAAAAGGCAGTTGTGAGGACCTCTGATCAAATGAATCTAAGCATATACTATTAAAGACAATTACACTTTGCTGTGGTCATTGTATATTATTTATTCTCAAAAGAACTTTCATTAGCATTTTTAAGATTATCATTTAAAAAAAAACTGAGAATATTTTTTAAAAATCACAGTTTTCTGTTTCCGGTTTAAGTCTCTTCCAGAAAGACCTATGTACAAAAGGTACTGTTTCTTCACATATCCCTTAGCACAAGGAATTAGACATAAAGTACAAAAGATTGCCTCCCAGGAAGTAAAGCCATCAGGAGTTGGATGTCTCAGACTAGCATGAGTCTTTGGAAGAAGTATTTATTTCAACTGCAATAAAATCATCTAAGTTTGGAAAACTGGACCTTTCAGCATCCATAAAGGCTACTTTGTAAGTGCCCTCTGTTCAAGGAGCTTCATTAAGCATTTGGAGGACTCAGACCCCGCGCACATGTTGTGCGGTGTAGACAGAGCACCAGCCTGGGAGTCATGTGGCCTAGGTACGTGTTCAGTTCCACCAGTACCTCCTAAGCATGCCAGTTTTGTGTTTTTGTTGCAGTGCTCAGCAGCTCAAAGCTTGTGCTTGTGCATCGTCTGAGTTTGGTCACCAGTCAGATGAAATGGTTGGATTTGATGTTTTCTGTGGTCTTTTCCAGTGCTAGCTGCTGGCTAGTCTGATGGTGTAAGCAGGTTTTCGTTATAGCCGATGCTGCTGCAGTTGGCAGGCAAAGCCTCTTCATAAGACACAATGACCACAGCAAAGTGTAGAAAAAGTAACCTTCTACAACATTGCCAGATTGTCTGAGCCCTGGGTGTAAATCTTTCATCAAAGCACTCTACGCTATTGAATTAAAAGTCACGGTTTAACTAGAGTTATAGTATTCACAGAAGTGCATTATTAAGACTTCTCTTATTAGACAATATAACTTTGGTGGCAGAAGTAGGTTGCATAGATCTCTGAGATTAAATTCACATTTTCACACATTTGGTTTCTCCAGTCAGGTCATACTTTAGCATATGAGAGATTGGGCAGTAAGGCTGTATATAGGCATGAGGCAAAATGTCAGGAAGAATCTTGACATGAGCCACCTCATTCAAGGCGAGAAATTCCCCCCCCCCAGTTTTATAGAAGAGGCTGCTCTGATTTATTTTACTATTGGTATATGACATGGGGAGTATGCACGTTGGCAAGACTTAAGCTGGAAAATATGCTTTACTTTTGGGCAAGTAAACTAGACACATGGTCAAAGCTTTAAGAAATCTGGAACCTAGCCTCTCAGATGCTATAGAGAACACACTATCATTCTGAAATGATAGCAATATTGCTTTTACCTGCTAAGCTTTGGACTTCAGCTTGACATTTTTATGTATATATTGAAATTGAACTTTACATTTTTACCTCATTATAAAACCCTAGAATCAGTCATTGAGAAACAATTGGATACAAAGCATCTAATCACAAAAAATAGAAAAGAGAATCATAGGCCACTTCAGAAGGAAACTCTGGAGCCAAGGTCATTTAGTTGTTCTTCTCTAGGGACCTATAATAATCTGTCAGGACTTTCCATGCTTTGGGGGCCATGAAGCCGTCTGGGGGGTTTTCTCCTTCCCGGGCCAACTTCCTCATACGAGTTCCTGAGATAAAGTCAAACTCGGCGTGCCTGTTATAGAGGAGCAACAAAGAATTCTGCATAGGTAAATAACATCTACCTTAAAGATTCCTAGAGTGGGTTATAGGTTCTCAGACCACATTTTTTTTTTCTGTAAAATGCTGCATTTTCTAAAATGGCAATCTGCTAAATCTTCAGTTCTGTAAAGGAACTTGCAGAAGGGGGAATAATGACAGCTATAAGTTCAATGCTTCCGTGTCTTCTGTCGCTCTTCCTTACTGTGAGCTCTGAGCATGGCGAGTGCGCCATAAATACTCATTAAAATCTTTTTCTATGTTGACTTCCTTTCACTTAATGTGCCGGGCACTCAGTGCATACTCCAGGAATGTATGTTAAAAACAATATTTTGGGGCCATCTTCTACATGCAAGAGGCTGTGCTATAACCGCAGGGAACACAAAATGTGTAAAACCAGGTCATGGCCTCCAAGAGACGCCCATTCCATTCCAATTAGGAGCATGTGGAGATGCACTGGAGAGTTTTCCAAAGGGCCCCAAATTTTTATTTGCCTCAGTATTCCAGTTGTACAGCTGTTGATTAAAGAATTTTTCTCTGAGGGCCGGCTGAGTAACTCAGTTGGTTAAGAGCGTGAGCTCTGAGCAACAGGGTCGCCGGTTCGATTCTCACATGAGCCAGTGAGCTGCACCCGAGCTGAGCTGCCAACAGGTGGCAGGATGGCTCAGCTGGTGAAAGCATGTGCTCCTAACAAGTTTGCCGGTTCCACTCCCTCATGGAATGATGGTCTATGCCCACCCACAACTAAGATTGAACATGGCACCTTAAACTGAGCGGCCACGAGCTGCTGACAGTTGGCTGGATGACAACTGGACTTTGAGTTGAGCCAGCTGTGCCCTCCACAACTAAGACTGAAGGACAACAACTTGGCTGTTTCCCTTCCCAATTCCCCAATAAATCTTTTAATAAACAACAATAATAAAAAAGAATTTTCCTTTGAAAACCTACCTTTCTGGGTCATAGAAGTCCATGGCTTTTTTTACTTTGTTGTAAGCAGCCACTCGGAATGGAATGATTTCCACAGAAGTGAGGCCAGGGGCCATGCTCAAGACCTTGCCCCCATGAGTGGGTTCATACAGGTCTTTCTTGGTCTCAGGGTGGGGCATTCCTGCAGGGTCCCGGCCTACAATGTAGAAATTGGCCCCTGCAATCATCCGGGACCTGCAGTGCCACTGGACCTAGAAAACATCACATAAAGGACATGCCGGTCATCACTGACCAGTTTTGTGGGTCCCTGTTAATAGACACACCATTATTCCGCATTAAAAGTAATTCAATAATGTGGATCAACTCATAATTGCAGGGAAGTCAGTGAGGTGTCTAAGACTCCAGGCTCTCATCTTCATCTGCTTGGTTATGTTGGGTAGGACAGGAGCTTAGAACCCGACCCCCGCACCCTCCCCCCGCCCCTTAGAACCTGAAGTTATATTTCCTAATCTCTCCAAACAGGCTAGCCGACCAGGAACATGCAGACCTTACTGTTCTACCGAACTGTGAATTTTACTTTTCAGTCCCTCCCTGTTCAGAATAAATCACAGCTTCAAGGGAATTACAAACTCCACTCACTATCTCTTACCTGACTGCTTATAATGAGCTAATTACCTTCCGTATGCAGACATTGATTCCAGTTCAATACAGCATTGGGATTTCAAACTGAATTGTCCTCTTCAATCAGATAGAAATACAGAGGGTAGAGAGGAGAGCTAGGGGCCTGGAAGTTCGAAGTGGTTGAAAGGAATTAATTTATTCAACTCAGTTTGGGGCATTCCAAAGGGTTGAGACCCTTTCAGTTCATCATACTTCCAGCAAACGTGTTCAAATCCACTACAGTGGTTGTGCAGTGGGACAAAGAAAGTCTGTTTGATAGGCTCCCTGTGTGATGAAAGGGAGACATTAAGCATTTAAAGACAGGCTCTCCGTGAGCTTCTAATGTAGCTCACAGAGCATGGAGAATCACTAAGTAACTGGAACTGCAGACATTGAATATTAGGTTTGATACAACCTGCCCTATAACCTAGCTAAGTTGCATTATCCACCTCATTCACACGCCAACTTTCATATTCTCAAAGGCAGTGTATAACAGGGTGGATTTGACAGTTGTAGCATTTTTATAAGCACTAAATGGAAACATAATTAAGTTGGATAAAGAAGAGAGACTAGAAGATTTTAGCATCTGTGCATGACAAAGAGTCCCAGAGACACAGTTGCTCTTCTAAGTAAAGTTGGAGCCTGCACTTGAATCCCATGTCCCAGCTCAGGGAACCGCTCACCTCTGTGGGGCCAGCATATAACATGGGAGATGGGAAGATGGCGACGATGGTTGACTTGGGATCCAGGACCCCTTCCTCAAGCACGGCTGCGTGCTGTTTCATCCGCCAGTCCAGGGGCACGTCGTCATCTTTGGTCCAGCCACCCAGAGGGTGGAGCAGGAGGACCGGGTGCTTGTAGCCCCTCTCCAGGAGCCGGCGGCGGGTGTCCTGCATCAGCAGGGCATGGCCATTGTGGACAGGATTGCGCAACTGGAAGGCAAACACCGCATCTGGAGAGGAAGACAAAAGCCAAAGTCAAAGAAATGTAGTGTCGCCTGTCTGCAAGAACAGAAAGGAAAAACGCAGCTATGTTCATTGTTCGGTGCATACATATATCCACCTGCTTTTGATAATCAGCGGGAGAATCTACTTGGGTCATTAGGGTGCTATTCCAAAGGTACCAACCAATGTCAGAGTGCTTAGACAGGGCCAGGACGCAGAAGCAGGAAGCCCTAGAGGGAGAGTCTGACGCAAAAATAAAAACATTTGTTGCCAGAACCTTTCCTGCTAATGAAGTCTTAGGCGGGGGCCTCGATCATCAGTCCTCTTGTACCCTGCTCCAGCCTCACTTTCCCAGGGGTGTAAGTAATGATGAGGAGCATTTTCTGGGGCCCATGCAAGGTCTCAACAATCTAAAAATATAAAAGATTTCATTGGCAGTGGCCCTGGCAGAGGCGGGTACTACAACGCTGCGGTCTCTGGACTTCTCATCTCGGGGTGGGACTACCAAGTCAGGGACAGGACCAGCCAGCTCCCTTTCTCTGCCAGACATGGAAGGCCCCACCGTCACTCACCCTGGGCGGCCATCACTGGAGCCCAGAGGGACCGGTCTTTCTTTTGTAGCCTGAGGGTGTGAGGATGGTGAGCAGCCCCACCTAGGAGCTTGTAGGCCTTAAGCGAAAACGCTGACCCCTAACTTGTCCAGCAGACCGACACCTGAAGACTCACCGAAAAGACGACTGGCAGAGGGAAAGGGCCAGACACGGTGCAGAGGGCATTCTCCAAGTAGGCCCTCAAGCAGTGCTTTAAGGGAAGAGGCACGTGGTGTCATTCACCAGGCACTCACTGTGCGCCCACTGAATACCAGGACTATGCAAGCGGCAGGGACTAGACTACAGTCCTGCCCTCAGGGATCTCACAGTCTTGGGTGGGTGGGGGAATACTGCGGTAAACAGAGGATTGCAGCCACGTGATAAAGGAGGAGGCTCCTATTGGCCTTGGCGACAAATGGAGGAGCTTCTGTGAGGGGCCCAGGGACACTGGGCTGGTGGTTCCAATGCCTTTGAAATAACAACAAAACCATAGCAGGGGAAACATTCAAATCAGTTCTCAGGTCTCAGGTTTCCACTGCACCATGACCATCACCACCCACTCACCTAACCTCACACACAGGATGAAGGTCTGCTAGGATCCTGTCTATCCTAGTAAGGGACCCTAGCAGAAGTTCTGGCATATAATACAGGTTCAATAAATATTTGTTGAATAAATTAAAAAATAATAGAAGGTATTTCATCTTCACTTTAAGGAAACCTTCAAAACGACTTCACTTAGTGATGGATTATTTCTGGTTATGAAATAATATATATCCATATGGAAAACTTGGGAAATACAAAAAAGCCCCAAATAGAATATAAAAATCATCCATAATCCTATCAGTACTTTTTGTCTCTCTTTTTCAAAATATGTAAAGTGAAAATCTTCCCCACCCTTGGTCCAACTCCATCCCCAAAACGTAGCTGCTGTCATCAGAGACACTTCCATACATAAAATAGGTTAGGGTTTTAAAAACAATTACTGTTCTGCAATTTGCTTTTTCACTTAATAAATATACTTTGGGTATCTTTCTGTATCAGTGCATGTTTTTAACTGACAAATTCCAGTATATGGATGTAGTTTAACTTTATAAACTCTTTCCATATCAATAGACGATGTTTCCAGCTTTTTAAAACTATAAACATGCTGTTCCTGATATTTTTAGCTCTGTAATCAGAGTGTGGTAAGGAATATTAACAAATGCATTGTAGCCAGCCTACATACCAGCATTCATTTCTTTGCATTTCTGTTTGAGCTCTAGAGGTGTCAGGCGGTATTGGTCCAACCCATCATTCCACCTTATTCTTTCCAGTACCTGAAGGTCTCCACCAACCAGCCAATCCCCACTTTCCATCACCATCTAGAAAGACAATTATTAAAGTTGTTAGTGATTAATATCGATTTCTATTTATCTGAAAAATTTTCTCCTTGTGGACCAATCTTGGGTTATTACTGAAGAACTGCCTTCAGTTCTTCAAACTTTTTGATCTCTCAGCCCCTTTATACTCTTAAAAATTATTGAGAATCCTGAGTTTTTGTTTTTGTGGATTATAGCTATCATTTTTCATTTTAGAAATTAAAACTGAGAAACAAAACAGACCCAGGGTGCTGTTATGACCTGGGAGAAGGCCAAACCTAGAGAGGAGGAGTGGTTGGCTGCAGGCCAAGAGCCGACTCTACCATATTGTGGTGTAAAACCAAGATGTCTGAACTGGCCTTCCAGATTGTTTTCAAGGCATAGTTGTCAGAGTAGAAAGAAAGAAAATATTTTACTTATTATTTAGATATGTAACTTTTATTTTTTATTATTATTATTTTTTTTTAGCTGAGCCATCCTGCCACCTGTTGGCAGCTCAGTGGCAGCTCAGCTTGGGCCAGGACTCAAACCGCTGTTGCGCAGAGCTCAAACTCTTGAGCCAGCTCTTAACCAACTGAGCCACTCTGCTGGCCCCTGGATATATAACTTTTAAAGATGATACATGGGCTTCAGTTTGTACTTCTACCCTGGGATTATTAGGTGTGAGACTGGTGTGAAGAATGGTCAAAATAATGAAAAAGAAACCCATGATAGTTTGGATGTTGTCGGGCCTGACAACACACGTGGTTAGGCACTGCCACCTACTTCATGGCATTTAACCATAGTTTTTACATTGTACACCTTAAACTTACCTAATGTTATATGTCAATTATGTCAGTAAACCTACAAAAAAACACGACAACCTTTGTTTTTCTACAAATTTAAATATGTCCCAGATGATGTTGCAGTGCAATCAGTTACAACTTAGAGCAAATGTCTTTCCTCAATCATTGAGACAAACATTATAGAAAATCTTATACCTCAGTCAAATAATGGTTTCACAACCCTTCCTCTGATCAAATTCCATGTGCTGTGGTTTAGAACCCCTGGGTAGAGAGAGATTGTGCAAGGGATTTGGTTATGTTTTCACAGCCCCTTTCTAAACTCTGTACTCAGGAGAGTCACTTACCAAGAATATTATCAAATACCTCTACCTTTACATTTACTTTCTCCTCACTGCTTAGAGTCAGACTATAGATAAAATTTTGGAAGATTTAAGAGCCCAAATTCCTGGTAATGTAGTAACTCATTGTGGACACTAAGAGACCACCCTATCTATACTGGTTCTACTGGTGAAGGCAATACAGGACTAATTTCATTTGCTACCTAGCCTAAAAATGTGTCTGTATGAAGAGCAATGTTTAAACTATGTTTTTGGTCTTATTGGGATAGAAATGGAAAGGGGGCATTTCTCTCTCCAAGGTGATTCAACTGTCCCTAAAACTGTGGTCCAGCTATCAGGAAGAGAGGGCCAGTGGGTCTGCCTAATTTCCCAGGACTTCGCGGGCTCCAAGTCCCTACCTCCTGTCAAAGACAGGCAAGGGACCACAGCTAGAACGTTTGCAGAACTGGACACACAGAGGAATGAGGAACAGGCTTTAAGGGAGTCTGGTGATGTAGTGAAAGGGGAATGGGGCTTGGAATCACAGACAACAGGAATGCAAAAAGGAGAGGATGAACTCAACCACTAGGATGAAGACTAAGAAAGCTATGGTGAATTGGCTCAAAGGGCAAGGAGAGGAAAACTTGAAAGAAACAATGTGGAGAGGAAGAGGGAATGTGCAAATCAGAAAGAGAGGAGCAGCTGAGGACAGGAAGGTGTAGAGGTCAGAATGAAAAGAGGGAGAGGAGAGGATGGAAACAGAAGGAAGGGAAGAAATGGTGGATTCAGGAAAATAAGGTCATGATGAAAGAGTTCAGAGAACAGAACTTAAAAGAAGAAAACTAACATGTGATACAAGTGAAGAATATATATTCATTTCTGTGATAGGTATCATAGTCATGGAATTCTGTGGCTGTAAGGAACCTGTAGACCGTGTGGACTTGATGCTCTCATTTTCAGATGAGAAGGTGGTTTTACAGAGTGGAGTGGCACAGATCAAGTACACAGAGTTCAAGCTGTCAGCCAGGACCCAAATCTAGGACTCCTCCAAACCAGGCTCTTCCCATCGCTCTCACTGCCTCTCATCAGGAAGAGAGGGCCAGTGGGTCTGCCTAATTTCCCAGGGCTGCCTGCTGATGTTTCAGCAATTCCTTCAGAGGGATCCTGTGTTCATGTTTCATCCAGTTAGAACTGATTATGTGCCAGGTCCTGTGCTGGCTGCTGAGGATCTGATGATAAACAAAACAGATCAAGATGTGGTCCTTGATCTCAGGGTTTGGCAGTCTGAGTGGATTAAGAAAAGAGTAAATAGATAAAAATACTGTGGGACAGGTGTGGACAGCCAAGCCTCTAGGTCCTCAGAGTAAGCCAATTTCTTAAAGGGCAAAGGAGTAACAAATAAGGTGAGGAGGCAGGGGTAGGATGCACAGTGTCCTAGGTTGAGGGACTAGCAAAAGAAAGAGAGGATGATGTAAGACCTGCTGAGAATGACTGGAGGAAAGAACATGTGGAGTGGTGGTGGTGAGAAGTGGTACAATGAAGTCATGTCTTTATAAAGAGTTTCCGGGTAAAGCTTGGACAATCCCCTCCAGCTGCAGAATGGAGAAAGGATCCCAGAGGAGTAAGGAAAGAGGGAAGAAGTGAAATGTCTTGGCACAAGTTGGAACAGAAGAGAAGTGAACAAATTCAAGCAATGCCTAGGAGGCAGAAGCGTCAGTACTTGGTGATGGAATGAATGAACAAAGGAGAAGAAAGAAGATTGACATCCAGGTTTTGGACATGGCCAACATTGGGATGGTGGACCTGCCCCCCTGAGCTTGGAGACGCAGGAAAGGGAACGGGTCTGGGGAGAGGCTGTGCATGTAGAGTGTGAGGTGCTTACAGAATATGTCCAGGTGGAGTCATACAAGATAGAGGTCTGCATAATTATCCAATGCAGTGGTTCTCACCCTTCCTGGTGCATCAGAATCACAGAGAACTTTGAACTCCCAACACCCAGAACTGACCCCCAAATAATTAAAATCTGCGAGGGTGGGGTCCAGTCTTGGGTAATTTTTTACCCAAGCTCCTCAGGTGATTCTGTTGATCTAATTGACCGTATGGTCTTCACTGCAGAGCTAAAGGGAAGCCATACTCTGGTCTCTTGGTATCTACATCTGTAAAATGGGAATAATGATGCTTAGCTACTTCACAAGAGCATTGTGAGAAATAATTACTGTTTGGAAAAGCTTTGAGAGCCATGGATGAAAGGCAACCGGCCTCCTCCAAGCATTAGTTTTAGAAGTTTCACCCGTTTCTTCTCATGATTTCATATGTGATCATGGCACATGGTTTCATGTTAGTGACTCAAGAGAAAGAATTGGAAAGACTTGAATGGAAGGTCAAGGTGACTTCAGAGCAGAGCTATGCAGCAGAAGCAAACCATTTCCTTGGTGATTCTGACCATTTTCCATGCAAATATCACTCCCAGCACCACATGGAAATACAAGAAGGCCCATGATTACTTTTGGAAGGTTTAGGGTTCTAAAAAAAAAAATGTATTACTGTGAATTTCAAAGTGCTTTACAAAAAGCACAATGCAAAGAGTTTCTTTCCCAATAAAACCCATGAGTTGTGGGTCTGGTAAACACACCTTCAATACTCCATGTGTATTGTATACTAGGTGAGTGGCTTTCTCTCTCTGGCTATCTAGGCCCATTTCTCACCATTAGCTAGCTCACTGGGAATGTTTATAGAGTCTCTCTAATAACCTAATAGTACAGAGTCACCAACTCTGTTGTCAAGGCCACAGGTCACCCCATCATTCTCTCTGGCTTCTAAGAAATTCTGAGCTCCAACTGCCAGCACATGTTGCAAGACATGATGAAAAGAAATAATTGGTTAAGAGCTTCCTTAGGTTTTGTTTGTTTTTTTTTTCTTTTCTTTTTAGTGCTAATCATTTATCATAATCTTCGGGCTGTTAGGCCCGAAGAGTGGAAATATCTGAGCTGGCATGATGAAAAGCAACTATTCTTTATGTCACTGAGTGACGATAAGATCTAAAGCTTATATGATTATGATCAGGAAAGGAATGAAACAGGCATGACTATAGCCTAGACGCAATTCCTCAAATAGCTCTCAGGCAATGTCCTGCAACTTCAAGGACAGACTGCCAGCTTGTTGGAGAGAAGCTGTTGAGATGACTTTGAGCTGGATCTGCTTTAAGATTAAAGATGCTTATCTGCAAGGTGGATAATTGGGTCCAATAAATGAAAAGTGGGTTCGCTGCCAATTGACCTCTTGTATCAGAGGCTGCCACCAGCAGCCTTGAAAAAGCCCCGCCTATCTTGCAACATTTCACAACTGGGAAAAATAAAATAAAACAAAACGTAAGTTTGCCCGACAGATTTGGACAGGTTTATTTAAATGTTCGTTTTGCAGCATCTCAGGGCTGAACGACCTTGGAGTTATTTTGAGGCTGTTCCTCTCCTTTTATAAATGAAGAAACTGAGGCCCAGTGAGAGGATATATATTTTAGAGATTCCTGGGCTTCACACTGCTCTCTATTCCTGTGAACTTGCTGAAAATTAGTTATCCCAGCTAGGGAATTAGACAAGTCAAATCAGCAGTCTACGTCTTTTTTTTATTTCAACCCTAATGCTCTAATCTTGAATGAGGGAAGGTTTTGCATTCAGTTTTACATATTTTTCTTTATGGAACATGAACCACATCTAGCAATCCCATAATACCCTCCACTCCCACCCATCAGTAAAACCAATTAGAAATTGTGAAGGAATCTGAGGAGTTTTTATCTATTTTGCCTTGTGGCTGAATAGACTTGAAATGATCCTAATCAGCTGAACACATTTTTCAATCCAAAAAATACCCACTGATGAAAATGTGGTATCTCCCCTCTGGAAACTATGCCACTATCTGTACTGATTTTGTTTACTAAAACAATGTCATTGACCTCTACCCCTCCCTGGCCACAGAGCATGAACTCTGTGTCTTTTTCTAGTGGTTGGTTGGACCTACTCTGTATGAAGAAATTGACTTACCTTGTGAATTTTCAAGCTGGACAGGGCTGCAAGGTCTGGCTGTGGTTTTGTGCAGAGCTGCAGCTACTCCTGATGCTAGACTAAATTATCTCCTTGGTCCAGTTGTTTCCCATTCAGCTGAGGGACCCAAACATCACAGCATCGAAGGACACAAGAGGTCATTTAAACCAGCCCTCAAAATAAAGACATTTCTTTGCACCTTTCTACAAAGATCTCCCTGGCAAAATCTCCCTTAGAAATGCATTCTTCTCTTGAGCCCCAGTTTTTCTAAGTCCTTTGTCAAGAAATGAAAAAGGAATTATTTTTGCCCTGAGTTGAAAGAGATCAAGAAAGCCTTTCCAAAGGTTTTGCAACTTACTTTTATATGGGGATGTTTTGCACATGTTGTCCCCCACACACGGGAGCAACGCTCCTCTTTTCTATGTTCATAGAATTCAGGGTCTTGTAAGATAGCCACCCTCCGTCCACCATGTGTCAAGACAAACTTGCTGCATCCTTCCAGCCGCGTCTTATCCTCCGCAGAGACAGGCAGTACAATGGGAATGCTCATGTTGATCACTCCATCTGTGGAAAGAGCCACATGGGGCATGACTACGGTACAAGACGTCCTGTCCTGTAATGATGACTCAGTGTGCACAGTGTCTCTTCCAGACATTTCTGCAACAGGCATGAAGACTTAAATCCACATGGTTGTGTTGGCTGCACCAGTTTCTCCAGAATCTACGATGAGAAGTCTTTGAGGGCTTTCTCAAAGCAGCAGATGGGGCATTTGTGAAAAGTGAGCTGAATTTCAAATCATGGAGGTTGCTTCAGGAATTTGGGGGACCACGAAGGGGTGTCTCCCTTCTGGGTTCCCTTTTGAAAGCTTGGTCCAGACTTCAATGCACTAGGAAGCTTAAAGTTTTTAAAACCCCAATTAAACAAAATAAAGGTTGGCAAAACAAACCAAAACAAGCAAAAAAACTCTAGTCTTTCTTGGAAATGAACCTTGTAACAACATTGCAAGTCTGTTATTATTTGTTTAGGCTCTAATGGCACTACCAACACACAATTGGAAAAGAAAAAAAAATCAAACAATTAATATTAACCAACAGAACCCTAAACAAGCAGTACTCCTTGGAGGAGTGAAAAAAACATAAAGTTTATTTGCTAAAGCTCCCATACTTTCTTTGGAGCGTGAGCACCTCTCACCTTTATGCTAAGTCTCTTACTTTAAAAGGTATTTAAATAAACTGGTTGTTCCAGCTTCTTAGCACACAACACAATGAATTGGAAGGTGAGGAATGCGGTGTTCAGACAATTTACATTTTTAGCTGCAAGAAATGTCAAATGACAGCTTGACCATAAAGGCAGAGGCTGGAAAACTACTTAAAAAGAGACATAGAAACTGTGATGTTTAATTTTATGTGTGAACTTGGCTGAGGCCACGGTACCCAGATATTTGGTCAAACATTATTCTAGATCTCAAACATTTCTCTGAAGGTATTTTTAGATGAGATTAACATTTAAGTCAGTAGACCCTGAGTGAAGCAGCTTGCCCTCCGTGATGTGGCGCGCCTCATCATTTGAAGGCCTTAATAGAAAGACTGACCTCCCTGTAAGAAGATGGAATTCTGCCAGCAGACTACCTCTGTCTGGACTTGAACTGTAAGTCTTCCCTGGGTCTACCACCTCCCAGCTTACCCTACAGACTTTGGACTTGCCAAACCTCCACAAATGCATGAATCAATTCCTTAAAATCAATCAATCAATCAGTCTTCCTCCCTCTTTCCCTCCCTCCCTCCCATTTCTCTGGAGAGCCCACACATTAATACAGAAACTAAAA